TGAGTTTGAGACCAACCTGGTCTACAAGAGCTAGTTCCAGGACAGGCTCCAAAATTACAGAGAAATGCTGTCTCGAAAAAATAACAAAAAAAAATATTGTTTTGTGTGTGCATTTGCATCTTTATATGTGTGTAGGAGTTTACAAACACATGTGTGCTCATTCGTGTCCAATAGCATTGACGAAACTGTAAAGAAGATTACTTAAGTAGATTTTCTGTCAAATTCTCAAATACCCAAGTGATATGTATTAGAAAAATGATATTTTATGTTTTCCAATCTTATTTGTGTATCTTTTATTTTTAAATAGAATTTTGTGTTAATTTTTCCAAGCGTCTTCCAGGATTGAGGACTCCATAGTTCTCTTCTCATTCAGGATGCTATCAATAACACTTGAGCCAAAAAATTACAGTCACACAAGAGCATACCACAAATCTACCTCAGGCATCCCCTGAGCTGTAGCTCTTCAAGAAGAGGCATAGGAGAGAAGAAAGAAGCAAATGATGTGGAGGTCGAGAGTTCTGCGTACCCTGCTTTTCTCCTTCCTTAAACAGAGGTGGGGGCAGGAAGTTTTATTTAGTTTTCATAGCTGAGGGTCAGGCAGGACCTGAGACGCAAGACACCGGTGCTTCATGCTCCCTTCTGGACACCATGGACTCGGATTAAAGAAGCAGGACTGAGCTTCAGCATCACCCTTCACTAGTTCATTTCCTCTGGGATTATCTCTCAGCTTGAAAGTATCATCACTCAGATGAAATAAACCAATGTACAGTAAATGTTTGGGAAACTGTAAACAATCAAACAAGGAATTTCAGTTTTATTTTAACATTTTTATTCATTATTCCAATGTGGTCCACAAAAAGAATCATCCATGATTTATATATAAATGTGGAGAACTTGAAAGAAAGAATTAAAATTCGGTTTGATTCCACAGAAACACTTAAGCATCTCTAAAATAGCCCAATACAGCTGAAGGTAAGGTAAGGATGTGGAAGTAATAGGGAAACAGCTGGTCCACAAGCATCAGTGTTAAACGCTGAGTGGCAGTTATTGTGCAAGCTCCTGTAAAAGAAAGAGGTGGTCAAAATATTAAAGGATGCTCAGGGTGAGAGGGAAATTTTACATGCTGGTTGTTCATTCAGGGGTCTCATTTTGTCCCCATCTCAGCTAAGGCCTCATGACAATCATGTTAGCATGTGCCTCTTCCTAAACATGTGGCTAAAACAATGATTCTCAGCTGAAGGCCATCTCCTCTAGGAGACACTGGCAATGTTTGTAGACATTTTAAGTTGTCACAAAAGGGTGGAGTCTTACTGTCCTCCACTGGGTAGAGACTACAACTCAGCTAAACATTCTATAGTTCATAGCACAGCTCTCTCCTCATACCTCAGGACCAATGACCACAACCAAGAAGTTAACAGCACCAGGCCAAGAACTCTGGACTATTCACATGTCCCAAAGGCTTGGTAATGTTGATGAAGACCAACAGGGTACAGAACTTGGTAACATTTCTCTCAATAAGTGGGATAAACATTTTGGTGTCATGCAGAACTGAGCAAAGCTGACCAGTTAGTGATCTCGGGTCTGGCTGACCTGGGTGTGTCTATTTTCTCCCTAAACACTAGAGGATCCAACTCTTACTCTGTCATCCTGGTTTGACACCTTCTGCTTCAGGAACCTGAAACATGACTCCCCATGTTTCTCCTTAGGGAGTTTAAGTCAAAGGCTTAGACACAGAGCCCAGGCAGGCTTTTCAATCCATGAGTGTATTCCTCTATTCCTTAGATTGGTTGAGGGAGACTTTTAAATGATGTTGGGTGGTTTTGTAATTTTATGGTTCTCATCAAATGTATTCCACTACAGAAAAGAGGCATACATTTTCTCTGGAGTTATCCACATGCAGCTTTTCATGTTTACTCAGTTATGGAACAACACCAAATGAAAATTTTTTTGAGGAGCTGATATTTACTTCAGAAGTAGAAACACGTTCCAAGGGCTGTTAAAGGTAACATGCAACACATGTGAAGTATGTAAAACCCTCCCTCCCTTCCTTGGTCATTCATCCACATTTCCTGGGGAAACAAGACATGATGGCATGCTGAGTCCTGGATGAGAATCATAGTAATGAGCACATACACCCTCAGCATGTCTGTAACCACTTCCTTCCTAACGTAGCGCAAGTCAATCCAGTCCTGGGCCCTGCTCACCCTCAGCCCTCACCTGCAGCTCGTCTATCAGGGGAAACCAGAAAGTGAGTCTGATGGCTATCGACTGTGTCAGGAACTGTGCCCATCTTTCTGGGTCAGCATCATTTCCTGTTGACTTCGTTTAGACATTAAGTGTATTAAGATTGTCTTACTCTCTCAGTGAGAAAGCAAGGTCCAGGGTTTCAGTTGCCATGGGCTTCCAATAATGTTGGCTCCTGGGAGAGGTGCTGAGAAGGAACACCGAGCAATGCATATATTTTCAGCTCCCTCTGCTCTCACAGTATACAATACATAAATTGTGTGTTTAGAATCTAACTCAGTCAGCAGATCGATATAGTCAGGCTGTCTACAAAGGCGTAACTACTTTCGATCAGTTGTACCACTAAAGAAATTAAAGTTTAGATAATTGAAGCCTAATAAATAAGTAAAGATAAGAAGCCCTGTTTCCCAAACTAAACCACAAGGCTACTCTAAGAAGTGTAAGGATTGCAGTTCTGAAAGTGAGCGCTAGGATATCTCCAGTACATTCAGATGGAAGAAGGATCATTTACTGGGAGATGGGGCAAAGAAAAATTTCAGGATGCTGTCATCAAAAACCAACTGGGGCCACTTTGGCCATTAGATGAGCCCACAGCGTTGTATGCTTGTGAAGGACAGGTGAGAGCTGGTGAGGCTCTGTTAATCCCGTGTGTGAGTTCTCTATGGGTGCTCTCAGTCCTTTGCATGTATTAGTTCCTTTAAGTCACGCCACCTAAAATATCTATTTTTCTTTTTTCACTAACAGTATCAAATCAGAAAATAGGTGAACATTCCGTGATCCAGGCATTTATTCAGGCAAGGGTCCATGATAGATCAGGGTAGAGACTCAGTTAACATGGAACCTTTGGGCTGTTACTAAGATACTTCATCTCAGGGGGGCATAAAAGAATCAATTAATTATTGCCACTCCATAGAGGAGGCAAATTATAATGCAATTTTAATTGATGCAAATTATTACTGTATGTTGAAACAATCCTCAGGACTTGAGTAATTACATTGTTTTGTAGAATAAGTAATATGCCAATAATTTCCCAGTTAGTTTTTTTCAAATAAAACCTTGTATTTTTTTTGTTTTTAACAATAACACTTATAGTAGTCTTCTAGAAAAAATTCTTCTAAAAAGAAGGTACAGAAAACATCTGTATCTACTTTTCAACCTAACTATTCTTCAAAATTACATCAGCATGTTCATTCCTAATGTTCTCTGTGTCAAGGATCCATGATCTGTTGGTGAATTTGAGGAGTAGAGAGGGTTTGCAAGGTAGGCAAACACAGAAGGTAGAATAGATAAATGATTCATCCATTTCCCCCCCATCTCTAGTTAGGGGGGGATTCTTTGATTCCAATCTAGATCTACATGCAAGGAATATTATTTAGCCATTGGAATTAATGCCTTGTGCATTTATTAGTAAAATTTTAAAATACAATGGAATATAATGAAATTTTCATAAAGCAATAATCTCTGAATAATACAAAATTTTTCTTGACATATTAGAAAAGGAAATACATTTTCTCCACTTATTAAAGAGCAATTATTTCCAAAGAAATAGGTGTTTTAAATCGTACATTTATTAGTTTTACTTGTTCTTAAATGAGATATTGTGGTTTGTAAAAATGTTTAGGAATTTTATTTTTTACTGTTTGATAATAGTTAATGACATCAAAGAAGACTTCTGAGCAGGACATGCATATCTGAGCATTTAGTTCGGTGCCTTTGTGTAGCACAACATTATCAATTTCCTAACATTTCAAAAAGCATATGTGTAGGCAATGCACACATGTAGAAATCAAAGCCCAGAATGCTTAATTACCTCAGCTAGTTTCCTGCAAGATTGTGTACTGTAGAGGTCATTTAATTGTCATTGGTTCTTAAAAATAAAGTTCACATAAATATAAAGACCAGAACTATTACAGTATGAAAAAATCAGGAGGGAATTTAAAGTCAGCTGTGCACATCCATTTAAAGTTATATGCATACATATGTAAATGTAAATGATACTCAGCAGAATTATTTCCAATAATGAATACAAAATAAGTACAGAACATTCAAACTATTTCAATAATTTTATTTGTCAGAGATGCTCATAACATTGCAAAGCTACTGAGAAGCTGAATTCAATAAGAATACAGGTTGAACAGAGTCTGACAAGAACCAAGTCTTCCCTGAGTGTTAGATACTAAATTAAAGCTAAAGCTCTCATTACATATTGAACTTTAACTGATTTAAAAGTTTTACTGTACCTGACATCTGTTCATGAAAAGCTCCATTAACCAGAAAGTACAAATACTAATTTCCACAGCTGGTCTGTGATCCCCCAGTAACTGTCATGTGATTAATTCTTAAATGGACCAAGAGTATTAATATGAAGTGATTTCTCTTGCTCACAATTTGTTTAGGGAAATCCAATTGAATAAAAAGAACTTAGAAAGTACTCAGAGTTTAGGTATTTGGCATGTTAATTAAAGTCAACAAAACATTTCAAAGGCTTGTTTGTTGTTGGACAATTAAGGTCAGATTTTTTGTTTTCCCTCCAGGCCTGAACATATAGCAAATCACAGATAGGTAAACATGGTTATAGCAAGTATGTCTTCATAGCTTCTGCATAACATCTTGGCAGTAAGCAATGGAAAGGGGAACAGATGAGAAGGTTGCACCCACACTGCCCCACCCCTAGAAGAACAGTTACAATTTACGTGCTAATCTGACCAGCTTGTGTGGGCCAGGAAACCCAGAGCCATTCATAACTACAGCAGACCATGAAGAAATTTGGCTCACACGTCCTCTTTCCTTTACATCTTCCCTGGGAAGCCGGCCTGAGAGATCCACTCCTGAACATGGTCATTCTCTCAAGCCTCTTGACTTGTGAGTCACCACTGTCCTTCCCCTGGGACGCAGAGACTAAAGTATGCCTGTATTGCTGTTTCTTTGCCTGCCGGTTAATCACAGGAATTTTTTCTGCTTTGCTTGCAGTTGGACTTGGGAAGGTGGAACAACCTGAAATATCAGTTACAAGAACAACGGATGAGACTGCCCAAATATCCTGTAAGGTCTCCATCAACAGCTTTAAAAGTGTAGCCATACACTGGTACCGGCAAAAACCAAATCAAGGTTTACAGTTTCTATTACATGTCATGGCAACTCCCACCCATATTCTCTTAGATGAGACCAAGAAAATGGAAGCAAGTAAAAATCCTAGTGCTTCCACATCGACATTGACAATATATTCCTTGAAGGAAGAAGACGAAGCTATCTATTACTGTTCCTACGGCTAAAGCACAGCATTTGAGCTTCCGGAATAGCCTACACAAGAACCATCCCCCAGCCATGTGTTCCAACCCACATCCTTCCCAGAATGAGCAGCCACCAGCTGTTCAGCTGGGGGTACCTCCCAATCTTTCCCTCCTTACAGCACTTCTGCAGCTTCCCCTGCAACAATGTGGGTCTCCCACCCAAGTGCAGCCCCAGGGACTATGTTGCAGTTGAAGCCTGGCTTGACACCATTCCTACTAAACGAGAATATCTGGGAATAGTTCAATACGGGATGGCAAGCCTGCTGACTACATGATTTGGTTCTTTTATAACCGTACAGAAGAAGTGGACAAAGGGGTGGAATCAAGCTTCTGGTAATTTATGAGTTAAGTCCTTGTCACTTGATTCTCAAAAGAACAGTGGAAAGTCTCACAGCTTCAACTTTTGAATAGATGGATGGAAACTTTATGGATGCTCAAGCCATGTAGAGGAGAGAAAGTGGCACCTTATCTGTGGGTCTAAAGTGACAAACAACATAGAACCACTAAATACATTCTTTGAAGAATTGTTAATAAAGTGGAAAACATTCACTACATTTAGTGGCGAAGGAAGGGACCTGGACCTGAGATGGTTAAAAGAAAGGAAAACAGGGAGCAACCACTTGGGCTAGTCAGTGTTGTGTGTGTGTGTGTGTGTACATGTAGGCTAGCCTCATGTGAAAGGGCAGACTGATCACATCTCTCCTTCAGCCCCTTATTTCTGCCTCTATCCTCATTCTGGCCACTACTTCCTAGCACTTTAAAACACACGGGCAGAATGTCTATTACCATATATAGGAGACAAAGATGCTAAAAATTCATAAAAGTCTTAACCTTGTGACATCAGCGGCCTCTAGCTTTTGTCTGGAGGTCTACAAGTGCTTGTTAGCATTGGAGTCTTGTGCTTTTAATTAAAAAGCCTGCGACATATTCACTAGGACTATCTTGGATGTAGAGATGATTTTATAGTAAAGCTTTGAGATAAAGGATCATATTTATTGATAAAAATGATTAAACAGAAAGGAAATTTCCCAAATTTAAAAAAAAAATGATTGTAAAAAAAATAGTGATTTAAAAACACTTCTGGTGCTAGCATACTTTCCACATGTCAACAGAAAGCTTCTGTTACATAAACTATCATGTATTTATAATAGATCTAATTGACAAATATGTTTGATGATAAACTATTTATACAATATAATCATATGCATCATACACTTGAAGCCTTTTTCTCTTATTATGTTTTCACACTCATTCCTGTTACTACTCTTTAGTTCTAAGGACAAGACCAAAACAGAATAACATGACATGAACATTACAATGGTGACAGTCAGTCACTGAACTGTAGAAAACCCATAGATTGTGTCGCGCCCACAAAGGTTGATGGAGATACAGCTTCCAATTACTCACAAGGTAAAGATGAAGTTTCAGTGAGCAGCCGATGCTAGTGGTAGTAACCAATGCTCACACAAGCTAAGGTAGTTATTACTTGGCTATTTCAAAAATATATTTGTTCCAGCTGAGTCTATAGCTCATTTAGTAGAGTGTTTGCCTGGTGCAATGGCCTGAATTCCCTCTCCGGCACTACATAAACCAGGTATGATGGCATCCATTCTTATAATCCCAGTATTTAGGATGCACCAAGCCTGTCTAGAAATAAACAAGTAAATAAATACAATAGATTTGTCCTTTGCTACAGTAAGTGATAACAGATGTATAACACATATTATAATGGTATATTATTTGTCTTTTAATAAATAAATCTTGCCTGAAGACCAGAGGCAAAGCTAAAGCCACTAGAGTTCAAGTAATGGTGATACACACCTTTAATTCCAGGATTTGGGAGACAGAGGCAGATAGCTCTCTATGAGTTCAAGGCTACCCTGGGCTACACAAGGTCAATGCAGAAGCAAATCCAAGTGGTAGTGGCCTAACCTTTTAATCCCAGTACTAGGGAGTCATGCCTTTAACCCCAGCACTAGAGGGAATATAAAATGGGAAAAGAGAGAGGCTTAATCTGCTTAGTCTATGGTCTCTCAGCCTTGGTAGAGGTAAAACTTCTCTAATAGTTTGGCTACCTTGCTTTTCTGGTTTTTGGGTTGAATCCCAATTTCTGTCTCTGAGTTTTTATTAATCATGCTACAATTATGATGTTATTTTAATTTATGTTTCTGTTTGTCATCATTCACTTAATGATTGTTTGTTATACTTCCAACCTTCCAATATTAGTTGGTCAACTTTGGTTAAATTACTTCACCTATCTTTGACCCATTCTCTTAACTTCAAATGGATAACATCATAAAGTTAACTTGAACTAACTTTTGCAAGTATTATCTTAAATAATGCACAAAATTTTTACAAGTATGTAGACCTGAGTGTACTTAATGTTTACTAATGGGAGCTGATCACATTGGTGATATTGCATATCAAAAAATGCAATTTCTATCATTTTGGTTCATATCCTGAGCCCTGGGCATCTGCAGCATGTGATTCTAAGAACTGTGTTAGGCATGAAAAAAAAATCAAGTCTCCATCTGGATGACTGAGTCTGAATCTCATTTCCCAAGAATCAGGATTTCTCTGGGATACTAACAATCTGAGTCACAGAAGTCTAGATGCCAAGCTGTTCAAGGGGTGAACCCACAGCTCAGGACAATTAGAATCTCATCCACCATCCATCAGCTGGTCTGGTATCTTCTTTGATTCCTTGATAGAAATAGTGCATTGTTACTTGGTTTTTCTATAGCAACTTTCCAACCAATGCACGTACAATGTAGCTTGTAACTCACATATATGTAGAAAATATGTAACTCACATATATGTAGAAAACATGTAACTCACATATATGTAGAAAACATGTAAATTACATAGATGTAGAAAAATATGTAACTCACATATATGTAGAAAATATGAAACTCACATGTAGAAAATATGTAACTCACATATATGTAGAAAATATGTAACTAACATATATGTAGCAAATTTTCAGTAACTACTTTATGACCCAGAAACAAGATTAATTTTTGCTTTCAACACAAAATGCTTGTCCTCTTATCATTAACTTCATAGTGCTAATGAAAAATCAGCAGGGATGGGGAAAGGAGAGTAGAAGTGACAACAGTTCCATTGTCACCACCTCCTTGCACCCCAAGTTTCCTAGGAGAAGACTCAGGACACAACTACACTCCCTGACAAGGCAGGTTTCTAACATTTCCAGAGAGAGAGATTGTGTTGCAGCCAGTTCAGGTCTATTGCTTGGGTTTTCTATTTTTTTCCAAGGATTGTTGGGATTAGGTGATTTTACGTGGAGGCCTCTGGGTTTGTGTATATGAACCTGACCGTGGTGCTGTGCTCCCCAGCACCACCACTCACACCACGAAGCTGAGTGCTTTGTCTTCTCCTTCTGTGCTTTTTAATGATCCCTATCAAACATGCATGCATTTGTAATGGGGAATAATGACCCTTCTTAAAGGTTGTATTTAGTCTAGGGAGCCAGCAGCTTTAACATGCCTATTTAATTGAAACACTCAAAAGTACAATTAGAAAGGCATTTCTTGATCACCTAACAGACCTGTACTCAAGACTGCCAGGTGCAGGGTGATATAAAAACAGCTCCTCATGATCCACACTGGAAGGAGATTTCGCTTCTCTCTCCCCTCCTCTCCTCTCCTTTCTTCTCCACCTCCTTTTTCTTTTCTCTGTTTCTATGCCTCTTTTTCCCCTTCTTCCTTTCTTCTCTTTCCTCTTTGTCTTCCTCTTACTCGTCACTAAATCTGTCTGTATTTTAGGAGTAACCTAACAAAGAATGTTAATCTTTCAACAAGACAATCAGTTTTGACCAAAAAAAAAAACTAAAAGTTCTCTCTCATACATGCAAGTTAAAAGTGTCAACCTGAAACTGAAATCATGACTCACAGGGCTTGAGAAGGGTGGAGAACAAACACTACACATGTGTAATCTTCCATACTCCATTGATATGTACAATTGAGGCATGCTAAGGGGACAAGAAATTGTGTCTCTAAATTGATCGTTTGATAAACATCTTCCATAAGCACAATAGAGAAATCCGCTAATAAGTGAGTTAGGTAAACCAATTGCCACAAGCAATCTTGATAAAACACCATGTCCGCCCCGTCAGTCCCCAGAATGCCACTTCCTCTTCCTGCACTAGTCTCTTTTATTCTGGGCCTGTGTAGCCTTGGTGTTCAGTTTCCCTCAGGACAAAGGCCACAGAATGTGGCTTCTGCTGTCAATCTTCACGCTGGCCTCTCTCAGGATTTGTGAGTAAGGTGTTCTTCACTCTCGGGATACAGAAAACAGGGACAGTCAGGTCACACCACATTCCCAAGCAGTACACTCACACAGCTGTTCAAATTGAACTGATAAATTCCACTATGATTCTGAATCCCTCAAGGCACATGAGGGGTGGGGGACCCACAAAACCCAGACACTGACTGGAATTGGACTTGGACACCAAATTTGTATTATCTTAACGGAATTCAAAATTCACAATTTTGGATTTTTTAAAGTTTTAGCTTTTGTTATCTTTCAGATACAGGAGGAAGCACTCCCAATTCACATCTAATGTCATATATCACCAAGAGAAAAGGAGATACAGCGTTTCTCGAATGTCAATTTAAAATCATTTTGAAGCATGATACATATATACACTGGTACTGGCAGAAGCCAGGCCAGCCTCCAAAAAGAATGCTGTGTCTTAATTCAAGAGGCAATATTATCTATGAAAAAGGTTTTAGTAAAGAAAGATATGAGGCAAAGCAATGGCAGAATGATTTGTCTTCAAATCTCAGAATATACCGAGTGACAGAAGAGGACACAGGGATATATTACTGTGCGTACTGGGCTCCACTCTATTAAAATGCTGCTCTGTTAACAAACAAAAACCTTCCACAGGAGGCTCGCCTACACAGACACACACTAAACCCTCCACAGGAAGCTCACCTGCACAGACACACACTAAAC